AAGATCGAGGAATGGCGAGACCGCAGACGAGTTACGGACACATTTTTTGACATCTTCGATGGTGATATGTGGCGAGAGTTTCGAGACAGTGATGGCAGACCTTTTGTTGAGCAGCTTCGATCCCTATTGTTGACGTTGAATGTAGACTGGTTCGGCCCATTCCTAAACTCAACATACTCATGCGGTGCCATTTACTTATCTGTCAACAATCTTCCCCGGTCCGAGCGCTTCAAGACTGAAAATGTCATTCTCGTTGGTGTTATGCCGGGCCCACGAGAAGCAAGTACCTCGGACATGAATCATTTTCTCCGTCCATTAGTTGATGAATTGTTGGAATGGTACAATGGCAAATTGATCAGGACGTGTGAGCACCGACAAGGAACATTGGTCCACTTGGCCTTCCTCATCAATGCTTGTGATATCCCTGCTGCACGTAAAACAAGCGGCTTCACGTCTTATGCCAGTCTTTGTGCCTACCATAAATGCGATCGTCGATTTAATGTTTTTCCAGCCACGACCAACATCAATTACTCCAGATTCGACGTCGAAACCTGGGCATTGAGGACGTACGAGGGAAATAGAGCCTGTGCTGAGCAGTGGCTTGCTGCGCCGACGATGACAGCAAGGCGGTTGCTTGAACGTGAGAATGGTACACGATGGTCCAAGCTGCACCGACTTCACTACTTTGATCCAGTCCGTTGCACGATCATCGATCCAATGCTCAATCTGTTCCTTGGCACGACAAAGCGGATGACCAAAATATGGATCGATCGAGAACTACTCACAAGAGCCGACTTAGAGCAAATGCAAGTACTCGCAAAGGGCATCGTCCTCCCGCCCGATTATGTTACCTTGAAGCGTAAAATCGAAAGTGGTTTCTCGTTCATGACCGCCGACGACTGGAAATCGTGGTGCATCGTGTACTCGCCTTTGGTGCTCGATGGCCATCTTCCGCGTATGTATCTGCAAAACTAGTTGATATTCGTAGATGCATGTCGTTTGTTGGTTAAGCCGTCAATAACTATGGACGAAATTGCAAAAGCAAGCACTCTGCTCCAGCAGTTTTGCACCGGTTTTGAGCGACTGTACGGCGCGGAGGAAGTCACACCTAACATGCACCTCCACATGCATTTGGACGTAACGATTGAAGATTTTGGACCCTTGTATGCGTACTGGCTCTTTTCTTTCAACGATACAACGGGTATCTAAAGGAGATTGATACCAACCAGAAGGATGCTTTTGAGGTGACGTTCATGAAGAAGTTCTTACAGAAGACTGGAGCTCCGATTTTGTCCGATCGTTTGAAGCCCTCTTCGAAAATCGCCAACGCCATTTCAGCTTTCTGAATGCTTTTCTGGACCTTGTGCAGCCGATCCCACAAGCCGTCAATGTTATGCAGCATCAGTTCGATGTCCATGCGTTTCTGGCTTTGTCCACTGATGTTAGAGCCACTTCTGTCACAGGAAGCGAGCCGCTACCGCCAGACGCATATCCTTTGGACTACGGACGGATAGCATATATGCCTGCTCAACTGTATGATTTCTTGTTCGAATTTTACCAAGTAGCATATGGTGTGCCTTTCCGTCGTCATAACCAAGCTGGTGATGGGCAAGGTTTTGTCAGTGATCAATACTGGAAAATCAAGACGATAACAATGATGGGACAGACTTACCACAGTACCGAGGCGCGATCGCGAGGGGTGCATATGCGCAGGTTCTCTTCCATGCTGACGACCGTGGGGAAGTAATGGCTTGGCCTTGCGAAATCCAGTTTTTCTTTCGCCATAAGCAGCTTGTTCACGGTCAGCAGACCGAGCATATTTTTGCCTACGTCCGTTGGTACGGCATCCACGGAGACAACGACGGCCAACGATTCTCAGACTCTTTTATTGAAACTTGGCGTAGTCGGTTTCGAGCTCCAGCGTGGGATTGCATTCTACCGGTTCATCGTTTGTATGGACAAATCGCTGTCGTAAAACTCGGCGCACAGTCAAGCGCAAACGCGCGAACAGTTGTTATCCCTTTGCCAAAAAAAATGTTGGCGTAATCATCCCACTCTTTGCTTTTCCTCTTTTTCTCGTCTTTTTCGTTTTAAAAATTCTTCTTGACATACGCTTTCCATACAAAGTACGATTATGATCTGTTTCCAGGGGCTGCGGTTGGGAAGAGCAAGTAGCCTTTTTACCAGCATTTGCAAGTAATCAGTTTAATGGTGCGAATGTGAGTAAGTGTAAGAAAACAACGCGTGGATAATATGAAAGGTGAAAAGGGAAACCCCGTTTTTTTTTAAAGTGGCTGAAAAATAAGTTGTGCCATCAGTACCCCCAATTGCAACATCACTGTGTTTGTGCCCACCCCAAACCCACACGGCATACAGCCATGCGACCATTTTATTCTTTTTATCAATTTAAACATCTTCTACCCAACCGGCCAGCTTCTCACGAGCGCTGTCAGGCAAGGCAACAGGATCAACACCATCCACTCTCGTCAACTTGTTGGCCTCAGTAGCAGGACTGTTCGCATCTAGATGCTGTAAAAACAAATTGGCCTGCAAACAGTTTGTCAAAATCTCTGCCAAAGAAGCCACGACGAACCATTCCAAAATACATACCCTTTCATTGCGCCATTGCTGCTTACGGACCACAACGCGCTTCCCTACTTCACCAGTGTATTCACCGTCCGTCTCTTCTTCAGACATAAACTCAACTTGGAGTAATGCCTCCCTCCTGGGTAGGACGCCTCCAACTGGACCTGATGCCGTCGGAAGACTGCGAGACGTCGCTTGAACTTCTACTCAACATATATCATGAGACTAATACTAACAGCATACATACTATATCTATTACCATATGACGACGACCATTGCGGCGGTTGATCACCTTTCTTCGTGCTGCACGCTCAGCTGACTGACGATTACTCGTGCGCGTATTGTCAAAGTACGTGTACACCTTTTTGGCCAGTTCATCATACGTGATTTCAAACTGACCGAGGCCTAGTACGTACTCGATGATACTGGCACGAACGCTACGGTTATGGGTGCTTCGAAAACCTTCGTTCCAACGAAAGCCTTCCTCTTTCAAAACGTTGTGATGATGGCGTATCGCATCCTTTATATAATTATATCAGGATATCATGCTAATTACTTCCATTAAGAAGATGTTATCAACTTTCTTACAGAAATATCCGGTGCACGGGTCATTTGCGCGCCTTGGCCATGAGTACTGACCACAGCTAGGTTATCCGCAACTTGTGTTGCTGCTTGTTGTTGCACCTGCGCCTGTCGAGCAACCACGTTTGCCATAGCCTGCAGTTGGTGTTCTTGCGTGGCGCGATGTGCCTCCAGCGTTCTTATACGATCTTCCATCGCCAATATGGCATTGGCGGAATTTTCCCGCTCAACAGCAGCCCGACGTTCTTCGATGCGTTGCTGTCTGGCAGCATTGCGTTCTCCTATTGTGGCATCTACACAGTATTTCAGTATACGGCACTCAATAACTATATGGTCAACGCTACTTATTTACGCTTACTATGTAGTAGTGTGGATTGAAGGTGTGGATAAGGTAAGTTCTATTGGGATTAATTAATTGGGGGACGTTTTTATAGGGATACACAATGATCCTATGTAGGGTGGTGATGATGGAGTTGTGGACAGCAGGAACTTGCCTAAATGATTTTTTTAGATTGATATATTTTCCCTGACTGCATGAATTGGTTATTCTGTCTCTTCTTTTCCCTTTTTTCTTCTTTTCATACTTCCACGTCGTATTTTATCACCTACCTGAATATTCTTTTTCTATGGTAAGAATCTATGTAACATGGTCATTTTCTATCTTTCACATACTTTCAACTTTGTACCGATGATGTTCTTTCAATCACTAACTGCATTCTTTATGAATCTTCAAGACATCATCACTGAGTAACAAGGAAACGGTGTAAGCTCTCTCTCCTCTTTTTACAGTCTTTTCTGATGGTTGAGAGGTTCAGATACTAATAGTCCCTTATATTTTATTTGCCTACGCTTTCAACTATCTGAAGCTGTTAGCATTTATATCTTCTTATTCAGAGTCTTTGTTTGCACCTAACTGTTGCCACACAAGTAGCGCTATCTAAAAGTATACTTTCTTTCTATCTTCGTTTCTACTTTTTTTCTCTTTATGTATCTCGCCTCTTAGACATTGCTGCTGAGTTCTCCTCTTACGATTTGGACCTCTTATTTTTGCTAATCGCCTTGCTGTAGATTATGAATTCTTTGTTGTCATGCCAATGCCGCCCCAACACACCAACCAATATAGCACTTCCCTTTAGGATAGAAATTTTTGTTTAGTTTCATCTCTATAGCATGTTTTTATTTGTAATAATCGTCAATCAATTTTTAATAATAAAACCGGTTTCGATCAACCATAACACGTAATTTCACGATCCAAAAAATAATTATACAACCAATTGCCTTGCTGCTTTGATCAGTATGCATGTAAAGAAGTACATTAAAATATGCGATGCAGAACTCTGCTGCGAATTTGACTGCACCTAGTATCCAATCCATATGTAATGTGATATAGAACCCAACCACTACTGCATCAATTTACTTATATTGCCACCAATATAAGAGCTGCCTCCCCCCCACAATTCAAATTTCTTTTGAAAGTCAGAGAGTCGATGACGTTGGTGGAGCGCGCTATAAAGAAAATCTCAGGAGAAAGAACAGTGTCTCCTCTTAATTTTGGCCAATACAGCAGTATAAAAAGCACGACGATAATTGACTGAATGGAGCGAAAGCAACTAAGGCACAGTATTAACACTTTGCTTATTTCTATGAATGGCCAAAAGTAGTGCAGTAAAGGGCAGTAGAATCGAGGGGCATTGCAACGAGTGAGTTTCTGTTCCTTTCTCTGTAGAGCTGCCAATTGCGACATGCCATAAGGTCTTTGACGATTTCACGTACAAACAATTGAAGAATGCACATTTTAATCCACATGGACCTTCCTCCGCTAATTTTCAAAAATGCCTGAAACGCCCTCAGGCAACAATCCGGACAACCCTACACCATCGCTTGACCCTCGCCTCTCATGGGCTCAAGTAGCCCAAAAGAAGCGGGTGTCTCTTCTCCACAACTCCTATTCCGTCTCTCAAGATACATCACGTCAACAGCAGACGGTCATCTACTCCCACGTCTGGCGCGTGGGCCGATCGCCTAACGCTGTCTTCTTCGATGTTAGTTCTCGTCCCGGCAAAGTCACCGACATTCTCAAACTTTTGACTGAACAATACGCACACATCAATGGCGTCCAGCACCACACCGAAGGTCCTCGCGTCATTCTCGAAGTTTACTTCCAGCAACCAGACGACTACCGTCGTGCTCTCGAACAAGGCCTGGAATTCTTGAAGCAAACGTTTATCCACGGCACCCCTGGCCTCCACCCTACCGCCCAAATCAAGAAAATCCGCCTGACACAGCTACCTTTCCTGAGTCCCGAGGCCCTAGTGCAAGGTCTCCAAACGACCATGGCCATGTACGGCCGTGTCATGGACGTAGGTGTCTACCGCGACCAAACAACCAATCTCTTCATGGGAAACGGTTTTGCAGTGATTGATCAACAGCCGCTAGAAGGCGAACAAGCGTTCACCACTTTGGACCACCATATCCCATGGTGCGGGGATGAAAACAACCTCGTTTACGGCACATTTTCTGACATGAAACCACACTGCTCCCGATGTCACTCTGCTTCTCACGTCGTTCGTGATTGCCCGCTGCGCCGCAGCAACCAACGAGAGTGCTGGTCCTGTGGCAAAAAAGGCCACTTGTCCTATCGCTGCCCCAACAAACACGCGTATGTGTCAGGCGAACAACCAGGCACTCGCCACAAAACTAACCCCCAATCGGAGAACGAACAGCAAGCTTCCTCTTCTCCCACCCGCAAACGAAACCGCAACAAAAGATCGGCCGCGCCTCCGGCGACGCCACCCGCAAGCGCACCACCAGTATCCGACGTTTCCACACCATCGTTGGAACCGGACGTTAGCACTGGCATTCAAGAGCCAAACCCTGGGACCTCCGATGCCGACGTCTTGATGGACACGTCCATGGATGAAGCACTTTCCGAGTTCCTCGATGATACCACCTGTTCGAAACTGGTCACACCTACGATACAACAACAAGTCTCGACCATTCAGCTCCATCGCGAATGGTTCCACAAATTTCCATTGTCTGAGGACGCCATGCTCATCTTTGAGCAATCCGAAGTCTCCGCTGATGAAGAAAAGTTGATCGCTACACTCCTCCTCTCCAAGCTGACTCAGATGGCTCAATCTGATAGCTGTGCAGCTGATCACTTACTAACGATCGAACGCTCGGGTTACATCCGCTTTCAGAGCGTACATGCCCGTACTGAGACAACCGAAGCTGGATTATAAATAATCCTTTGACTCACATCACTAAATACTCAATCATGATATCTTCAAAAACAAACAATATTAACGTCCTTACACTCAACTGTAACGGACTCACAAAAACCAACAACTCAAAAGCCCGCTCCTCTCTCATCCGCTTTCTACGGCGGCAATCAGCTCATATCATTGCGTTACAAGAAACGCACGCCACCACCACCAAACTTCGCGAAACATTCCACAAACAATTCTGCGCGACTTCCTCTATTTGGACCATGCACTGCGGCATTGTCTCGCTTTCACCCAATATCACTCTCACTGAATTACCATTATCGATTGGTCTCCGGGCCCAACTAGTTCGACTTCAACACGATCACAACGCCTTTGAAGCATTCTTCTTGCTCAACATATATGCCCCGGCAACAACTGCTCAGCAACGCCGCTACTTTTTCAACACACTTCAGTCAGCACTCACCACTCTCAGCACCACCACACACTTCACCGACCGCCTCATCATTGCCGGCGACTTTAACTACAGCACCAGTTGACCACAACTTCATCTCAACGCTCCTCCGTCATGGTTTGCTTGGCTCGAGGACTGCTTTATCGACTGCATTAAGTCCGATCCCACACTATCACCTCTCAATATCCTTATTTCGCCCCAAAAATAAGAGTTGGGTTGGCCCCCCCCCCCAGTTTTCAATTTTTTTTGAAAGTCAGCAGGAGACGTGTTGACGCGTCGGGAACGGCTATTTGCACCACCCCACCTGCACCACCCCTCGGGTAGTGACTAGCTTTTCGGAGGTGAAATGGCATGGCGGGTGGTGAGAAACGATGAAGGGTGGTGAGAGGAGGCATGTATTTCAATGAAATCTTTATAATGGGTCTATCTGTTATTGTTCAAGGTAACTAGACTACTCGTTAACTATCAGCAAAGTACCGGTTCTTCTTTAAAGTGATCTTCAATTTTCTTATAAATCAAAGTGCTGCAATAGTACGATTACAGCAAGACCATAACTATTGTATTATGGGTGTTTACATGATATATCATGTTTTCATGGTCTGATTGATAATTAGTACACTTCTTTGACACTATTTTCTTTTTGCTTACGTTATTCGATTACACATCTTGTAGCAATATTTCTGTTTGCGAGCTGGTTGTTTGACGTTATTAAAGTAAGAGAGAAGGGAAGAGGTCTATTTTTTGTGGTCGATTAAGTAGGAATGGTTGGTGAAGTTGTGGCGGGTACAAAAGAGATTATGGGAGCGATGGACAGAAGGGTACACAACTTGGGCAGCTGGTCTAAAAGAGACATGGTAGAAATGAAAATTGCTCAACTGCATACTGATAGGTTTACCTGTAGGAGCGGAAAGGAAAGGTATGTATAGAGTTGAGAATTCAACAGAATACCAAGCAATGGCTTTTGAGAACGCATTGGCAGCTAGAATTGCACAAGAATGATTGAAATATGAAGCAGTATTGCAAGGAGAGGAGCGATCGGATAACTTATGCTCCACTGAAGCCAGTTCATCTTCTCTAAAGAGATGTAAGAAAATAGCGCGATTCTGCTGCAAAAACACAAACATATCGTCTTTGATGGATGGCCACATATCCTCATCGTTTTTCAAGTCCAAAGCCAAGACACGAAAACCACAATTACCATCAGGCTGAGGACTAACAATAGTGGCGACTTGCTGCTTGGGTACATCGGTGCTTAAGACACCAGCCAATGGCACCGCCAGATCCTTGCCCTTTCCTTCCCTATTTTAACGGCCCACCACAATCAGCTTATATTATACACTGGAATGATTGGTACATACCATGTGGCTGCTGCGTCAGCTCCGAAGCCCGTCTTGGCCTTTTTCTTGCTTTGCTCATCTTGGATTTCGAGTGTAATTGGCAAGCGTTTGTTGTTATTACTGCTGTGGCTGCTGCTGCTGCTGCTGGCGTTATTTGCAGTAGTGCGAGCTGTTGTTTTCTTTGTTGGCACAGGTGGAGATTGCAGTTCATGCATATCAATGAACGAATCATTACTGATTGCCTTCAATTTATGCAAAAGATCTGCTAGTTGCTGCTGGTTTTGGAGATTGAATCCTAGGTTTTCAATCCGGACAAGCTCAGCGGCGACTTGCTTTTCGATCGTTGGCTTCTCGTGGTCGTCCACAACTGCTATAACGTTAGGTGCAGAGAGCACATCGACAAATTCGTCTATTGCAAAAAAGAAGAAAAGAAAACCGGCTCATAAATCGTCGGTGAACATACTCACCATTGTCTTAAACTCTGCAATAGCCATACCATTGAGATTCGATGCTGTTTTTTCTGGGAACAAGTGCCAACGCCGAGGGATAATCGACAATGGAATGGGCCCGTCAGCTGGATACATATGACAGCATGGTATTCCGTAATGGATCTTTAAGGCACACTTGCAATGCATCGTCTTCAGCACGTTCGAAAATCTCAACTGGTCTTTGATGGCTTCAAAAGCAAAGCGAGATATATTACGACTGAGGAGCTCAAGTCGCGTTTTATATGCCTCAGGAAGATGAGAATTAGCACTCAATGCTTCCTTATCAACCTGCTGATTCCAGTTGGTGTTCTACAAAAGCGTCTATCATCAATTACACAGTATTGCTTATCGCAAACCCCAAACGTGCCGATACTTAAATATAAGTATGCAACAACATGAATTGATGCGAACATTTCTCAGCAAAACGTATGTATATATACCTTGTCTTTATACCACATATTCAGATGTGTGAAAGAAAGATGAAGGCTGCTGGATGGATCGATGTACTTTTTGATTTCGGCGTGAGCACCTTCAGCCCGGTTGGTACTGGTATTTCCAAGGTGTCGCAGTTGGCCGGTCTCACTGCCAACCCATTTTTCCCTAAAGGCAAGTTTACTATAGAAAGAGTATATGAGCTAGATCAATCATGAAGCCCCACAAGGATTTGGACAACATTCAAAGGTACACTAATCATCTACCTTTTCAAGTAGCTTCGTGCCTTTTCAGGGTCTGAACAACACAGTATTGCATTTTCAAACATAGTAAGCGCCTTTTGCTCTAGTTTTACATCGGACACCTTCTCCATCATATCATCGAACTTGTCCTTGTAAGAGCTAGACATCAAAAGGTTGAGCGCCTTTTCTACCTGGTCCCATTGTTCTTGAGTGTCAAAAAGCTTTCGAAGGTTCGTCTTGAAGTTTCTATGCAAATGGATTTTACACAGTATCTTCGTAGACTCAGGGAAAGTGGAATCAAGCGCAGTCATTAATGCCGCTTCACTGTCTGTGACGAACACTTTTGGATAAACCGCTGTCGAAGACGAGTAAACAACTGACTTTAGCTGTTGAGCAAACCACATATACGACCCTGTGGTCTCATTCGAGACCCATCCTCCAGCTACACAAAAGCTTCTTAACGCCTTCACGCCAACATTTCCGGTACCAATCACATTTATAAATGGCATTTTGCTGCGATTGGTCTGGTAGGTGGCATCCATGGAGATCACCTCCGGGAATTGGTTTGCAACCTTTATAGCATCGCCATGGGCAAAGAACAACGCATTGAGGAAAATCTTTTCCCCTTCTTGTCTCGAGTCAAAACGGACGTGGTAATCGTTCTCTTGCAGAAGGTTGATCAGGTTGAACATTGCACCGTCAGGGTCGTTGTTGAACACTGTTTGACGAATGTTTGAAATATCCTTTGCGGTGGTACCAGAATGGCCTTTGCTGCGTAGGAAGTCTGTGATGACTCTGTTCGTGGCATGGTTGAGGATTAAGGTACGCACTGTCTGGAGAACGTCTCCTTTCAAACGGCGGTGCAGTGGGTAGGCACTAGGTTCCAAAGCCATATGGTGATTGTGTCCGCCATCATAGATACTCACCACACGCCATTGCTGGCTCTTACTGTCTAATGGTCGTAGCATCAGATTAAAAGGGCAACCAATCCGTTGAGAATCTTTGCTACGTCCTTTCTTCTTTTTCTCGGTGCTGCTCAGAATGCCGCCTTCCTCGTCAATAACAATTGTTGTTTGTTGCTGCTGCGATTGTTGCTCTTTCGGTGTCTGGTCACGGGGCTGACCAAAGTGCTTACAGCCAAGTTGGCACCTTCGCTTGGGGCCTGTTTTATCAGCTCTGATTACTGAAAGCTGGAACTTGTTTTTCAACGCCCAAGATTGCAAGGATGTAATTGCAATGTCGTACGATTCGTACGTTTGGTTGATTTCCTCGGGGATGTTCGCTGATCTCGTCTGTAATGTCGACATGCTTGCTGAATGGAAAAGGAAGGAGGCGTTTTCTTTTCCTTGTCACACAAAATTATAAAAAGGATCACATCTTTATTCTCAACTCAAGCCTCTCTGATTCTTTCGGTAGCAACATCCTGGTTAGTGTGTCATAGTCTATAGCAAACGTTCTC